TACATGACCCATGTGTTCCTGCATGTTGTCTACTTTTTCCTTTAGAGTCTTTTGCATATTAATCACAGATGTTTTAAATTCTCAGTCTGATTATTCCACTATCACTGCCATATATGAGGCTGGTTCTAATGCTTGTTCTTTCTTTTCACACTTTCAGTGTGCCTTGTAATTCCAGTCATGAAGTATTGGATAAAAGGAGCTGTGGTAAACAGGCATTTAGTAATGTGGTAGTTAGGTGTGGGGGGAGGGGAAGTTTTCTGTAGTTCTATGATTAGGTCTCCGTCTTTTTAGAGTCTGTGCCCCTAGACATGGACTTCACCAGTGTTCCTCATCCCCCCCCCCCCTCCAGGGGACAGGATGTCTAGAGACAGATGTAGTCAGATATTTATTTTCTTTTCCCCACATGGAAGACTAGAGGGAGCTGGAGTTGGGTATTTCCCTTTTCCCAGGCAAATTAGGCTCTATACAAGAAAAAGAAAAAAAATCCAGAGATGGAAGTAGATTAGAGGCTACAAGAAATGGGGGGTTGGAGGGAGAAATAATGAGAAGTTATTGCTTAATGGGTACAGAGTCTATGTTTAGGATGATGAAAAAGTTTTGGAACTAGATAGAAGTAGTAGTTACACAGCATTGTGAATGTAATTAATTCCATGCAATTGTATACTCAAAAATGCTTTAAATGGCAATTATTATGTAATGTATGTTTTATCACAGTCAAAAAAAAAGAATAATTAAAAAAAATCTTGGGCAGGGTATGCTCTTATAAAATAGTTTTTCCTGAGGTCAGGTCTTGCTGAGAACAGAATGCTCTGGCATATGTCAAAATTGGTTTCTTTCCTCCTCTTCTGCTGGAAACATGAGGTGATTTTCTTCCCTGATATTCAATTTGAAAACCTGGACAAGCTCCTGGAGGTAAAACTCACCAAGTGCGAGGATCCCTGTATGGCTGAGTCCTCCTGAAGTTTTTAACTCTCAGGCTTGTCAAACAGTGAGCCTGCAGCTACTGGTCAGTTATGGTTTAGGTTTTCCTACCCCAGTACTCATCCCTGCAGAGGTTTTTGCTAGTGGGCTTCTGTTCCAATAAGTTGTGATTTTTTGTGTGTGCCTGTCTGTCTCTCCATTTTTTGTCATAGGTGTTAGTCCTGTGATATAACTTCTCTGATGAATCTGAGAAGAGTTGTTGATTTTTCAGTTTGTTCAGCTTATTCATCTTATATAACCGATACTTTGCTCCCTTTGAATAATACCCTCTTTTCCCCTCTCCCATTCTTTGGCAGCCACCATTCTTTTATTACAGTCTCCTCAAATTACCCAGTTTGAGTGTGCCATCTCTTTCCTGCCAGAACTCTGATGAATACAACTAGCTATTCCCTTTCCCCAATTTGTTGCCCTCAGATATACAAGTTTTGCTCAAATACCACCATCTCAGTAATTCACTCTGATGACTCTATTGAAAATGCCAACCCCTCTCCACTTATCTCTACTTAATTTTTCTCCTTACCACATGCCATCTTTTAATATGTTGTGTAATACAGATGCATACTTTATTTTGTTTTGTATAACACCCCCCCTCCCCAACACATGTACACACATTCATGCTTCATGAGGGCAGGGGTCTTTGTCATTGCTTGTCATTGATATACACCAACCCTGGGAATCATGCCTGGCATCTTATAGGTCCTCCATAAAGACCGGTTGAACGGAGGAGGGGTAGGGATGAAGGCCTTTGCATTTACATGGGACCTCATGCACACAAACTCACGTGCTTCTCGTGACAGCCTCCTCAAGAAGCTGAGAAAATGCTGTTTGCAAATGTAGGAAAGAAAGCTTAGGGAAGGGGCCAGGGAATGTCCATCCTGTGTTCCTTTTGATCTTCATTGTAGTCCTCGACATCATCTGCTGCTTGGGAAAAGGCTTTGAAGGCAAATCTAAACAGGGACCCTCAGCTCTTTGGGGGTATTTGTGGCATTTTTAGTTGGAGTAAATGAAAAACCTCCTAATGTGACTACTGTAAAGGAGACAGAGTCATTAGATGTAGAAGGTCTGGTGGGTTACATGCTAATTCATCATGTTATCAGCACATTTCTCTTCCATGATAGTGAGCATGGAAAGTGTGTTTGATCCCTCCTCTTTTGCAATGTATTGGTGACAGTTCATATCATCTGAAAAGCTGTTGCTTAGCACATTCCCCTGGCATTGTTAAGTGTCCCTCCTGTCACATGAGAGAGACCCTATTCAAGTCATCTCTTTCCTCTCCCATCGTGGCTGCCTTTAAATAATTTGATGGTTGATTGCAGTCCATGTCTGCTGCTGTGACTTCATGTAATTATTTCCTTCCCAACTCCTTACCCCATTATAACTCTCCTCTTACTTAATCTGCACTTGTTCCATATATATATGTATTTTAATTGTAACTCATTTTGGAAGAGGGCAGGAATTAACGTTTATATTATAAATGAAGTGAGAAGTCTTATCACTACACCATAATCAGTTTATCATCAGTGTAGATTGTTTTATGCTGATACTATATAAATTAATTCCTTTTCTGAAATAAAGGCTCATTCCAAAAAGTACTTTTTTCTATGACAATACCCTTGAGCTTCTGGATCTTTTTTTTACAAACATTAGCAGTCAAGTAAAGAAAGCTGGCTGTTACCTCTTTGGCAGAGTTAAGAAAACTGCGGCCAGGTATAGGCCAAGGATTCACTCTCCTGATGCTGTGTTTGCTCCAGTTCTCTGTCCTGAATCTTCTATTCACAGATTTGATATTTGCCGACTGTCCACCACATGTGAGGACCTGTGTGTGTACACCTATGTGTGTAGACCTATGGGCTTTGCCCTCAAATAGCTAGTGAGGAAGCCAAACAGAGCCGGCCAGTCTGGTGTGGCATCCTGTCCACTGAGTGGGGGCGAGGCCTGCTGGGCGTGGGTCTGTCCTGAAGTGTCAGGGATGGTTTCCTACAGATGGTGTGCCTGGAAATGGAGGAGCAGCCTGCATGTGTGGAAGGCAGAGATGATGAATCTGGGGCACTGCAGGGATGGTGGGGCTGATGAGGTCGGCGAGGGCTGGATCATATGGAGGGGGTGGCGGAGTTGGTGCAGAGCCCTTTGAAGGACTTTGAGCAGGACCCTTATGGATCAGACTTGCATTTGCATCTAGTTTATGGGACACTTGATGTTTGCTGAAGCCTCTTTCCAGTGCCCAGTTCCCTGATCCTACCACTCTTCCCCCACTGATGTTTCCTGTGCCAGCCCTGCTCCTGCTCAGATCCCACCTCCCCTAAGAAGCTCCCTCTGACCTTTTCCAGCCTTCTTTGCTTAGAAATCCCCTTTCCCCCTCCTTTGCTGGCCTTCTTTGCTTGTTTCCTGTTAGTCATTTAGACAGTGGACCTGGTTTGAGGTCCCAGCCTTGTCAGCCAGTAGATGTGTGAGCTTAGGTATATCACATGGCACTTTTGTGTCTTACTTTCTTCATCTATACAATAGACATGATAATAATACTTTCCAGATGATAAAGAGAAGCAGACACACATTTGTATTAATGTGAACTTGGGCTTCATCTCATTCCCGTTAAAGGCATTTGTGGTCGGGTTCGAAGCCATAGGGCTCTGGCAAGCTGAATTTCTCTGCAGTTCTCTTGTCCAGATCTGTTCACGCTTCCACAGTTTAGGAGATGGACATGGCATTAGACACACTCACCCTTGAATGCTGGCTCTTTTTCTTACTTTACTTGGTTGAGCAAAATATTAACCCCTTCATGGGCCTTGGTTTCCTCACTGCAGTGCAAACCAGGGTAATATCTACTACCTTCTTTTTTTTTTTTTTTGTCTTTTTCCGTGTCCGGCAACGGATTGCAACCCTCAGTGTCGCCCCTGTACCAGACCAGGACCAGCAACGGGATCGCAACCCTCGGCGTTGCCCCCGCGCCTCGCTCAGCCAGTGAGCGGGAACCGGTCTGTATGTGGGATCTGAACCCTCGGCGGGAGCACCGCCACGCTTCCCAAGCGGCGCACTATAGCGGTGCGCCACCGGGCCGGCCCTCTACTACCTTCTTTAACATGAGTTGAATCAGACGGCAAATGGGTCACCCCCAGCTCAGTGCCCAGCCCAGAATAGGTGCTAATTAAATGGCTCAATCAAAGCAGCCCAAGCTCCATTACTCGATGGAATACTTGAGCTCAGTGCGAGGTTCTTGATGATTGTTCACAACTGCATGACATTATTGCCATAGGAAGAGAGTATCATTCTCTTTGGGGGCCAGCTCAGAGCCCATCCTTAGCCACGGTCAACACCTCATGGCTGCCCCTGTCACTTTGACTGTCACCACTTACCTCTCCACACTTGCCATGGCAAATGGATCCCCCCACACTGCTTTCTGAGTCCACTCCATCATTCTCTTCGGGGGCCAGCTCAGAGCCCATCCTTAGCCACGGTCAACACCTCATGGCTGCCCCTGTCACTTTGACTGTCACTACTTACCTCTCCACACTTGCCATGGCAAATGGATCCCCCCACACTGCTTTCTGAGTCCACTCAGATCTCACCTCCAAACCTCTCCCTTTCCCCCGCCCATGTTGCCTTAATTTCTCATTCCTTGGCCATTAAGTAGGTATTGATTTCTATTAAGATGAACATCAGGATTTATTGAGCAGAAAGGTAAACATTGACAGAAGCAGTGTGGCATGATCCAGGTGGGGAGGCAGTTCTGCCCACTCCCACCCCCCATCCTGTCTGCTGCTTAGAGAGTCAGGCAGAGTGCCCATGTGGCACCCCAGTCTGTGCCCACCTTGGGCCTGGTAATTAATGCTTTACAAATGCACCAGGTTAAGAGGGGCCTCATCCATCTTGCATGAGAATATTTCCAGCCCCGGCACAGGGTAGGTGCCAACAGATATTTTGGGGAGGAAGGAAAGGAGGAGGGGAGGAGTATATAGTGAGGCATTGGGCACCTCCTATCTTCGCTGAGTAAAGGGGAAGGAAGTTAGGATTTCTGTGGTGAATACTGCCACATGCTTTTGAGTGTTTATGCACAGCTAATGTTTCAGCTGTGGTGAAAAACTAGTTCTGAGATGTTAAAGCTGGAAGTCAGTAGTTGTCTACTCCTCCTGTAATTTTACACTTGTGGGCCTGAGGTGTAGAGTGGGGAGGGGCAGTTGCAGGGCCACATGTCAGTTGTTGGCAGAGCTAGGCTTAGAGCTGCTTCGGATGCATTCCCTGTTCTTTCCCATCCTTCTCCATTTTCCCATTTTTGTCTCAATCTGTCTGCCTATCTGTTCACTCTTCTTGTCTCTTTATTATCTATCGGCTTCCCTTGTTGTCATTTTGTAGTTTAGAATGTTACTCACTGTGATCTCTTGGGCAGATTCGTATTTCAGGGCCCAGTTGCCTCAACTGGAAAAAAAGAACATTGGAGGATTAAATAAGTGAGGTTTCTCAATCTTGGTGCTACACATTCGGGGCTGGAAAAAATCTTTGTTGTAGGGGGCTATCTTGTGCATCGTAGAATGTTTAGCAGCTTTTCTGACTTACTACATGCTTATAGCATCTCTCTCCCCAGTGGTGACACCAAAAATGCCGTCAGACATTGCCAAATGTCCCCTGGGGGGGCAGATGTCACCTGCACTACTGGCACAGAGTAAACAATCATTAAGTGCTGTTAAAAACACTGTCGTTGTTGTTGTTGTTGTTGTTGTTGTTCTGCGGTTACTTAATTTATCCACCAAGTATTCATCCAGTGCTTGCTGTGTGCCTTGCACAGCACTGAGCCCTGAGAGACGGTGGAGAATGTAAACCTGTTGTCCTCACCTTCTAGGAGATTATGCTGGAGTTGGACAATCACACACCTGAGCAGGGCACTGAGGTTGCTTTGAACAGTTTGTTCTGACCTAAATGTAGCAGAGGGACAATTGCTAGGCACAACTGCTGTAACAGAAGGAGAATTGCTAGGCTTGAGAGGCATGTTTACCCACTCTCAGGCCCCCTTCTGATTACTGGTAAACTCTCAGGTTCCCCCTTCTAATTATCAGTAAATGTGGCAAAGGGGAGAGGTAGTGACCTTGTTGGTTGGTCCTCTGGTTCCTGATAAACCCTCAACTGGGAGAGACTGTTCCTGGTTTCAGAGCACTTGGCTGTTTGAAGTGACAGACATTGCATGGTTGCTACTGTTGTCCTGTGCATTCAGAATGCCCCCAGAATCCCGTGGGGATGGGCAGATCACTGCTGCCTCGCTCCTACACTCCTCCCTTGCTGTGGATTGATGTCCTCCCAAAACTTAGTCCCAACTGTGAAAGTATAAAGAGAGTAAGAAATCCTCTTATGGTAATTGAAAGGTGGGACCTTGAAGAGCTGATTAGATTGTAGGACTGTGCTGCAGTGAATGGATTAATAATGGTGGTCAAGGATGTGATTTTCAGGGCTTTAAAAGGAGAGTATGCGAGAGTCTCTCTGTCTCTCTGCTCTGCTGTTTTGTGCCATGTGAGACCCCTGTGTTAGGTCCCTGGAACTGAGAACCTGACTTTTAGAAAGTCTTCAGTTTATCTAAGTTTCTTTCTTCAAGGTCTCTGCTTCCCTAAGTCCTTCTCCCACAAGCAGGCTGAGCAGGCTGTACCCAGAGTGTAACATTGTAACTGTTTCTTTGCATTAGCCCGAGATTTCTGTCTCCCCAAGTCTCTGTTCCCATGAGCAAGCTGTACCCGAAATGGAACATTGTGACTGTCTTCCTAGGCTACGCCAGATGCCAATCTTAACCCTATAAAAGAAGACACCCAACTGCCTCTTAGTGCTGACGCCATTTTTTGGCTCAGCCTAGCAGGTCCGCTTGCCACATGCTAATAAAATCTTCTTTCTTCCTTTACCTGGCTAGCATCTTCTTCCTGAGTGACCTTACGCCCTGCATTGCTGTAAAGCCACCACCAAGAAGACTCTCACCAGATGCGTTCCCTGGACTTAGGACTTCCCAGCCTCTGAAACTGCAAGTAATAAACTTCATTTTCTTACAATTACCCAATTCCATATATTTTGTTATAGGCAATAGAAACAGACTAATACATGCCTCCTATCCTGCCTCCCTGCTTCTTCTCTTGCCCGCACAGCACAGAAGGGTCCTCTTAACACACAGCCACGGCACAAAGCACCTCTGCCGAAACCCTCCATCAAACCTGACCACTGGCTTCCAGGAGCTTCCAGAGCTGCTCAACTCTACCCCCCCCTTACCCCTCCCACACCAACTCAGACTCCTTTCCTCCCACCCACCCCTTCCCTCACTGTCCTCCCACCACAGCTGCTCACTGCTCTGGCCTCTTCTAGGAATGCTGTCCTCCCAGATCCCTCATAGCTCACTCCTTCTGTTCATACTTTATCTTGTAAGAGAAGCCGTCCCTCAGGGCCTTTTATGAAATAGCAACCCCTCTTCTCCACACCCCAGCTTTCCTTGCTTTACTTTCTTCTCATTTCAGATCACCACCTAACACCTCTGCTGTGTGTTGTTGTTGTTGAGGCTGTTGATGGTCTGTTTCTCCCAGTGGAGTGTGAGCTCCCTGAGAGCAGGGGATTTGTTAGTCTTGTTCTGTGTCCCAAAGAGGAGCCAGCATGTCCTGGGCAGTCATTAATAATTGGATGGGCCGGCCCGGTGGCGCACTGGAGAGTGCACCGCTTGGGAGTGCGGCGGCGCTCCCACCAAGGGTTCGGATCCCATGTGGCGACCGGTTCCCGCTCACTGGCTGAGCGCGGTGCGGCCGCAACACCGAGGGTTGCGATCCCATTACCGGTCAGTAAAAAAGACAAAAAAGGAAAAAAATTTTAAAAATTTAAAAATAATTGGTGAATGACCCAGTGGAACAATACATGAATGAATAAAGAAAGGTTTAAAAAATTTAAAAATAATTGGTGAATGACCCAGTGGAACAATACATGAATGAATAAAGAAAGGAGAAGTTATATGACTCTGTATTACTATAAAGTTGCCAGGCATGTGTGGAACCTGCTTTAGCATTTCTTGAGAGAGACGGGCCTCCAGTATCATGCCCCAGAGGTCTGGTCAGGTGGAATTAGGACTGTGTTATATCAACTCTTCCCGCCTCTGTCTTGAGATAATTCTGTCCTGGTTAATGAGCCCACCTGGGCATGCAGACGAGGGCATGAAGGTGACCCATGTAGAACTCTGTGGCTGAGAGCCAGGGCTTCCCACTCAGACCTCAGATCCCATAGCATTGTCAGCCTAGTCAAGAAGCACCTGTCTTCTATGTGTTCAGGGCCCAAGGATGGGGTTCTCCCTGCACCCCCTGCTTTGCTCATTCGCCTCTTGTGCTTTCTCCTTTCACCCTTCCCATCTCATGCATGCCGAGTTGTCAGAAGGAGAGAAGAATGCCATTCATCACTGATGTTCCTTTACCTGGTCATCCTCCCCTCAGCGTTGTATGCCACGTCCCTGTCTTGCTGGCTTGCCCCACAGCCTTTCATTCCGCGCCTGTGTTTCTTTGCATGCTTGTGCTCTGCTGGCCTCTGTCCCCGTCACTTGGAGTCCTGCCTGTCCTCCCACCGCCCCCCCATACTGTCCCTGTGGGCCCTTCCCTCTCCTCTCCACTAAGCTTCCTTTCATGCTGCCTCTTTCAGACTGTGCAGCCATCTCCAGTTGACATTCAAGCATCATTCCATTTTGAAGCAGGGAAGACCCTCCAAAGCTGGCCCTGATACTCCCTTTGGTTTTTCTCTGTGCTCTTAGGTATGACGACTGCTTCAGCCAATCCGATCTACTTATCATCTCAGGAAATCATCTTGCACATTCCTTCCTCTATGTTCCTGCTGTTTTCCAAGACTGCAGTGTTCACTTCAGGGCCTTTTTATGGTAGCTGTTGTTTTTGGTGACCCAGCACGTATTCCTCCCCTCTCCCTTCTGGTATCAGAACCTAACCCACCATCTACCAGTAGAGACAGATGTGCAAATCCAGCTTGTTAATCAATGTAAGCTCCAGAAGGCCAGAGACTTGGTCTGTTTTATTCATTGCTGAATCTCCAATACCTAAAACAGTGCCTGGTTCCTACGTATGGGGCCATACTAGGTACTCTGTAAATATTTGTGAATTCATATCTCTACTATATTGGATATAGCTTATTTACCTTTTATATACCTTGCTAAAATATTTATATATCCAGATTTCCTTTTTTGATACAGATGTTTAAAAGAACATTTTCAAGGCCAAGTCCTAAGATGTCAGTGACCTCCAGTGTCTTATTCACTAAAGTATCTCTAGTACCTAAAGCAAGAGACACTCTATAAATATTTATGGAATGAATAATTCAGGCATTTGATTAGTGAAGTTTCAACTGAGCAAAGAAATGGAAATTTGAAGCTCAAATTTAGTACATTTATTTACATTTATTTTAATAAAATTAGAGTTTACAGGTGCTCTCACAAATATCCCCTCACTTGTATCTTACAACAATCCTAAGAAGTCTATTTTGTCAGTTTTATAGATGAGGAAAAAGGCTTAGAGGAATCTCTTAAAAAGCTTGTCTAAGATTATATAGTTAGCAGATTGGGACTTGAACTCAAGACTTGACTCCAAGATTTATGATCTTCCCACTTTTTCATGGATACCAATTCATGCAGAACTCATGAGAAATCAACATTTTAAAACTAGAACAAAATAATAGAATCTTAGAATTGGAAATGGACTTACACATCACAAATTCCAAACTCCTTCCTCATTTTTCTTTTTTTTTAATTTAAATTTATTAGTATTATTTTTTACATTTTAAGATATGGAGCAGTTGGGGGGAGGGGGAGAGGGAAAGGAGGAAGGAAATAGGATGGGAGGAGTAGGTCCTTCCTCATTTTTCAAAAGAGGAAAATAAGGTATGGAGAGTTTATATGGTGTATCTAAAGGTGCACATCCATTTTAAGAAGTAATTATACTGAAGCTGGCTTCTCCGACTACTGCCTCTAGTTTGTCCTCACGTTTCACTCTTGGCTTGAGAGAATGGATTAAGCTTGCAGGAGACTAATCTGTCCTCTGCTTTCTCTGCATCAGAGGCCTGTGAAAAGCCAGGCCCCTCTCTGACAGGAGCTTGGCTCTCGTTGAAGGAAACTCAATTTCTCTCTCCCTGTCATTTCTTTATCCTTCTTTCCTGTTTACCTTGCAGGTGGAGAGTGGGAGTCATGGAAGAGGCATCCTGCTGGGGTTTCCTACTCCTTCCCTATAGAAAGTCTTGGTAAAGGCCTTCCTAAGTGTGAAAGTTAATAAAATAACAACCCCACCTCACACTCCATTAATATACTGTTTTTATATTTGGTCCTGCCCTTGAAGTGTTTACAATTCAGAACCTAGTGTTGTGTTTCTTTCTTTCTCTAGTGCTTTCTGGTGTAGATGCCACCCCCACTGAGAGTTCACATTGTATGAATTCTAACAGAATCTTGCCTTCTGTTAGAAGGAATGCCTTTAGGGCCGGCCCGGTGGCGCACTGGAGAGTGTGCCACTTGGGAGTGCGGTGGCGCTCCCGCTGAGGGTTCGGATCCCATGTGGTGACCAGTTCCCGCTCACTGGCTGAGCGCGGCGCGGGTGCAACACTGAGGGTTGCGATCCCGTTGCCGGTCCCCGGTACGGGTGCGACACCGAGAGTTGCAATCCCGTTACCGGCCAGTAAAAAAGACAAAAAGGAAAAAAAAAAAAAAAAGAAGGAATGCCTTTACCAGGCCTGTGGGGAAGATAGATTACATTGTTTGGCCTTGCATGCCATTCTGTCATTATCAGTCAAAACTTGACGGTAGGAAGAGCACAGACCTGAAGTTTGCCAGTAGAAATGCAATGAAATAGCATTTTTTAAACTATCAAATAGACAAAAAACTTATAGAGATTGACCATATTTTGTGCTGGCAAGAGTGTGAGAAAATGCTGCTGTGAATGTGCATTGCTGCACCTTTTGGGAATGCAGCCTGCTACTAAAATGAAAAATAGATCACATTCAGTAATGTCACTCGTTTATTTATCCTATGGAAATCAATGTTCTAGTTTGTAAGGATATATGTTCAAGAACATTTACTGTAGCTTTATTTGCCGTAACAAAAACCTAGAGACAATTTGAATTTTATCCGGAAGTTTTGAATAAGTCATAGTTCATCTGTAATATACAATGTATCATGCAATTATTTTTAAAAAATGAATTAATAGCCTGTGTGGCCTTGAAAAGCTGTCTGTGGTATACTCATAAGTAATAAAGTTGTACAGTAATATTAACGGAAGGATCTTACTTTGGGGGGAACAAAGGAAATCTTTTTATGTGCATATACATGATTATATTGGTCTGGAGAAAGAAGTAATAGGATACCACCGCAGCTTTTAAAATCTGCTTCCTTCAAGGTAGAATTGAGATGGGGGAGGAAACATTAACACATCTGTCTTGTTTAACTTGCTGCAGCAAGCATGTATTGATATTGTGTTTTTTTAAATATAGGGACAAATTTTGAGAGAATGGGTTTGAGATAGATGGATGATAACCTAGTTTCTATCACTTAACGCTTATGAGAAATTTGGCAGATTACTTAACCTCAGCCTCATCTGTAACAGAAATATCCACCTCCGTGTTTGCTTAAAGGCAGTATAGAAAGCATGTAGCGCATCGGAGTCCTGTAAATGTTAGTTTCTTTTTCCTCATACACAGTATTTTTGGAGTAGAATATTAAAACACATGCAAAATGCATTGCTTTCCTACTGGTACGTGTCCTGCTGATGTTCTCAACTTGGCCTAACAAAGAGGTGGATTAGTGTCTGCAAAAAAAAACCCATCCAGGACATAATCTCTGTTTCCCCACCTTAATCCTTTTAGAGACAAAGTAAGAATAATATACAATAGTGTGTTGGCCTTCCGGGGGTTATTTACCTGGTACCTCAGTTATTAGTAACCCAGCTGAGAAGTAGGAAGGAAGGAAAGAGGGACTCTGAATAGCAAAACAGATGTCTAAAGTTCATGCTCTTTCCAGATTGTTAATTCTTATTGTAGATAACCCAAACTAGCTTTTCCAACCGTGACACACTAGTGAGGATGCTGCAGCAGGCACCTGAGAGCAGCCAGAACTGGCAGCCTGGTCTGAGCCGAAGGGCACATGGAAGACTAAAACACAAACACAAGAACTCAGGAAGCCGGATGGTCTGGGTCCAGGCCCTGTTTTCACATCAATAACTGTTCTTCATAATGACAATGCCGAATTATTAGGGGGAGATAAATTTATTCTTCATATAATGTTGTAAAGGCCTCTAGAGCATGATACAGTCTAGAAATATTACTGCCAGATATGATTAAACTCTTTCAGTTTTGCTCCTTAAAATGTAAGTTTTGTTTTTGTACCAGAATTTGTTTTGTATCCAGAGTATAACAGTGGTCTTTATTCCTACTAGAGAAAGATAGAATAACTGCCTAAAGTTAGAAATCTGCAAAGCCAAGTGTGACAGGTGCTAGAAATTGTTCAAAAAGGATCTTAACGTGGAACCATGAAATGATTTCCTACAAGTGCCTTGTTTGCTCTTTGAGTAAATAAGGTCTCCAATCTATAGTCCAAAATCTTTGGGGCCTGATGAGTTTTGGAATTCAGAGGTTTTCAGATTTTTTGAAAGGTAGTGTGTATGTATATATACCTTATGTTATGTAATAGCCCTGGCAGGGTCTAAGGCACCATAATCAAACATTAATATTTCAACAGTGATGTGTGAAATATTAATTAGGACAGTGTGTAGTTTATTTGAATAATAAACCAGTAAACAAAATAGTGGAATAAATATAGGGTGTAAATACTCTAATAGTCTTATTTCTAAGGAAAACATCTTATAAGTCTTTAAGTAAGTACAGATTCAAATTCAGTTAAATATACCCGTGCATGCACAAACCATGAATACCAGTTACCTCTGGTTCTCGTGCATCCTAGAGGAGAGGAGTATCGGTGCTTATTCCCAGCAGCCGGCCACAGGTGGGCATCTGGTGCCAGCAGGAGCCAGACTAAGGGCAGCACTGTAACAGGTGCCCTTTTAAAGGACTTTTCCCTGTGTCACATGGTTCATTAATTTGGGTTACCCTCCAAGCAATCCCTCTTTAATTATGAAAATTGCCATAAACTCATGTTCACTGAAAAATGTGCACAGTTCGAGGTCAGCCATTGACTGCTCACACATTTTTACCATATCATCTAGTGATTTTTTTCCTCCTGTGTTTACAATTTCCTTTTCATCATCACTGTTATCCTCGTGATTATATTTAAAACTATTTCCGCAGTTTCTCCACTTAAGACATGTACAACAGGAGCATCATTGTCAATGTGGAACATTTCTTTGATGTCAGCTTTATTCATACTTTGTAGCTAATAAACTTTTGGCATAAGGTAGTCTTCTCATTAGTGATATGAAATCCTTCAAAGTTTTTATCTGTAAATTTGATTTCAAAGATCACTGTCAGCCAAAGTCCATGCCAAGCATTTTTATAATAAGCTTTCAATTTTGAAATAATTTTAGATCTACAGGAAAGTTGCAAAGATAGTAGAGTTCCCATATACCCCACACCCATCTTCCACACTAATGTTAAATAACCATGGTACATTTGTTAAACCTTAGAAATTCATGGTAGCATAATACTATTGACTAAAGTCATACTTTACTTAGATTTCACCACTTCCCACTAATGGCCTTTTTCTGTTCTAGGATCCAGTCCAAGGTACCCGATGATGAAATCTTCTCAGTCTCCTCTCGGCTGCAGC